TACTACTACTACTACTACTACTACTACTACTACTACTGCATCTACTACTACTACTACTACTACTACTACTACTACTACTACTACTACTACTACTACTACTACTACTACTACTACTACTACTACTACTACTACTCGTATTGCCCCCGTACTGGGGGGTCTGAATACCCATCTCGGTTTCCCGTTTCGGCGGCGATGGAGGGGGAAGTGAGGAGGAGAAGGCCTTCTCAGAAGGCGGCGGATCGTTTCAGAAGCCCTCGCGCCTACTGGGGTGTTCTCTGCGTCTTCGGGAGAGGCTTCGAACACTTCTCAGAAGGCCGGGGGACCCCCGAGCCTTCTGACAAGGCGCGCCTCTTCTCACATTCACCCTCCTCGCTCGCCGCCGACTTTCGAGCCATGAACTTTCGGGGGGAGGCGCAGCCGCCGGGTGGGCTCCTGCTGTTGCGGCTGATGCTGGCATCAGGGTCGGACGCGTGGCGGCCATCCCCCCCCCCAGGACCGTCGCCCCTGGCGGGGGGGGGAGCAAACCTAGAGACTGTGTTTGGAGGGGTCCCGGGATAGCTCGGGCCCTCGGTCGTGGCTCAAGAGACGGGGTTCCGTGCAAGCGGGGGTCGGTCAGGGCGCCGGATCTTGCCGGATCCCGCAGAGCGAGGGGCGCACTGACCCGGGCCAGGGTGCCGGATCCTGCAGGATCCTGCAGGAGCCTGCGCAGCTTGACTGGCCCGGGCTTGCATCGACACGGGTCCGTAGATCCCTGCACCGGGCCCGCCGGCCCCCCCCCCACGGTGCAGCAGGTCCGAAAGGGGTGCGCAGTATTGGTGCGCGCGGGCGGGCGTACGTGGGGATGGCCGAAGCGAACAGGTTAGGTTATCGGCTGGCAGCTCCTCCCCCCGCTGGGTTCAGTACTGCAGGCTGATGAACAGCGACTTCCTAGAGAATTGAGAACAAACTGAAAGAGACCATGCAGTACGCGAGCACGAGGATAACTCCCCCCTGGGGGGCGAGGAAACCAGGCCCCCTGGCGGCCCCAGGGGATGGTTGGGGACCTCCCCAGTCTGGTTCCTGAGCGTTCTCGCCCCGGGACGCTTCTGCGGCAGCTGCGCCTCTCCGAGAGCGCTCCGGGCGCGCCCGAAGCGCCCCGAACGGCCGCCCGATGCTTGAGAACCACTTAGAAGGGGTCGTGATGTGGAGGAAGACGATGACGATGACGATGACGATGTCATCGCCATCGTCATCGTCATCGTCATCGTCATTGTCATCGTCATCGTCATCGTCAGATGGGGCTCGATGGGTGCACCGCGTCGTCTGGTCGGCCAAGGAGCCCATGAGTCTTGGCGGAGGAGCTCGGTGCACGGGCACGCGCGCACCTGCGGCAGCTCGAGAGGCTGTCCCCATTCCGCGCCCGCTTCGGGCCCCCCGATGGGGGGAGCGGCCCGGCCGTGGGGGGGTCGGGCCCGGTAACGAGGGGGGGTCGGTTAGGTGTGCTGTGCGTGGGAGTCATTTGAAGCAGGAGTTGTCGTCTCTCCCAGTTACTGTCAGGCGATCGCAAACATGGATCAATGGGGGCTTGGATTGGCGACGGGTCCCGTTTCCATGGGAAATCGCGGATTCCCGCTGCCGAGCGAGGCGGCACGGGCCGCATTCTGGGGAGGGCACCTCCCCCGATCCATGAATTTGGCGACCGCGCGCCAGATCCATGGAACGCGAATCCATGTTTGTGCGCCCCCGAAACAAAGGGGGGTTGGTTAGGTGTGTTGTGCGTGGGAGTCATTTTAATCAGGAGTTGTTGTCTCTCCCAGCTATTGACGTATCTTACTGCTCATGAGTGGTCGTCAATCGGCGCTATGATAGGCGCTAGTAGACACCGTTAGGCGCCAATCGGCGCTACTAGGCGCCAATGGGCGTTAGTAGGGGCATTGGTATACTCTAGTAGAGGCCAGTCGGGCGTTCCCTGTCTCTAAATATACCGTTCTCACGTATTCAGGGGGGAAGAGAACACAGACACGATTGATCCTCGATCCCCCTGGAGATGGGGAACTATGGGAAGCGGGGGGGAGGACGAAAATCCAGAAAATACAGGAAAATATATGGAATCCTGGGATTTGTGTCTACTTCTTTATGTGTCCCATACACATAAAAAGGTTGTGGAAGGGGGGGTGCGCCGCCCTCGAGGGAGGGGTCGGTTTCGCGCCTCTGCGGACGTCCTTTCGCTGGCTCCCGCGGGGGCTCTTTCCTGCCACAGGGGGGCGCTCCGGCAGCTGTGCCCCCTCGCCGGGAGCGCTCAGGGGAAAGGGCCCAGACGTACGTCGGGCGTGTCCCTCTACAGGAGGAGTATTCAAAAATAGTCAAAACATAGTCAGGGGATGGGTTTTCCAGCATGTTTTTCCTATTTCTGAATATGTGTTGAGTGCTTTTTGTTTTCGTGCAAAATCCGCCCGTAGGGAGACACGCCCGACCTAAGCCCAGACCCGTGAGGATCATCGAGCGCGTTCCACTACTCGCAACGTGCCTACTCGCAGACGTTCGAACAAAGACATGTCTTCCCCTATGTGATGGACCGTACGTGCAGTGCCAGGGGCGGCGGCCCGTCTTCCCATCTTACCATCATAGGGGGATGCGAAGTCCCTGAAGACGGGCCGGGGTGGGCACGAGCGGGCATCATAGCCGGCTCAAAATCAAAAGAGGCACCGTAGCCTCATCAATCTAGATTGATCCACTCACGGATCCACTGCAATCTATGTCCATTGACTTCACTCCATGCGTAGCGTGCCTACTCGCAGCGTGCCTACTCGCAGCGTGCCTACTCGCAGACGTTCGAAGAAAGACCTGTCTTCCCCTGTGTGATGGACCGTGGATCCCCCGTGGCGGCTCCAGGCCATCTGCGAGCATTCCCTTTCGGGGACTAAGAAACCGACACAAGCAGAAACTTCTGGCGCCTCCCGCAGATTCCTTGCATCCGCGCTGGACCTCCCCGCCCTGCGCGCGGAGCGCTCCATGGGCGGCCCCCCGGAGGCGCCGCCCGGGGGCCCCAGCGCAGACCGGAGAGATCCGCGCGCACAGTGAGCGGCTTGAGTAAGGAACCCTTTTCGTTGGGGAGGGGCTCCGTGTTCCTTAATTGTTTCGCAGCTTGCCTTAGGTTTTCCTTGGGTTTTCGATACGAATTCGAAGTTCAACTCATGGAAAGTAGGGGCCTCCTTCCTTATTTAGGGTTCCTTAGGTCAAGGCTCCGACTGTAGCTCCGAATGCTTATGTTTGGGTCGTTTTCTCGTCCCGTATACCTGTTGCGAGCAGTGGGGCGCGCTTATCCAGTGCTGGGGGGAGGGCCGTGACCTCTGAGGCGCCACGCTGCGAGAGGGGTCCGACGGCGTCGGATGTCTGGGCGGCATATGGTCGCCACCCCTGCCCGTTTTCGTCTGTTCTTGGCGGCGCGCGGAGGGGGGTGTGAGGGAGGGGGTAAGACTTCTTAGAAGGAGGCTGCTTCGGCTGCTTCTTAGAATCAGGCGATCGCAAACATGGGTCAAGGGGATGTGCATTAGCGACGGTTCCCGTTTCCATGGGAAATCGCGGATTTCCGCCGCCGAGCGAGGCGGCACCGGCAGCATTTCGGGGACGGCATTTCCCCCGATCCATGGATTTTGCGACCGCGCGCCAGATCCATGGATCGCTAATCCATGTTTGCGAGCCCCCAGTAGAAGGGTGCCGGCCCTACATCTACAGACAAGGCCAAGAAGCAGGGGTGTTTCTAAGGAGCCTTCCCTCCTCCCCCTGCTCTCCTCTGCGCGCCGCCATTGTTCTGCGCGGCAGCGGGGCGCTGCAGTGGAATCGGGCCGGGCGTGAGGGGGGGGGGAGCTTCAGGAACAGGAGGGTCAGGGCGCAATCTCGGTTCCTCCGCTCCGATGGTATTATATTTCGATGGCTTCCGATTGCAGCTTGATTCGACTTCGGATTCCCATTTGGGTTCCGATTTCTGAATGGAGGCCTGCTGACCTGCCGAGTTCTGCCAATTCGAGTTCTCCCGACTTGGCTGCCGACCTCTGCCGATCCGATTGCTTTCGATCGCCGATCCGACTTCTCGATTCGATTCTGGGCTACTCCTGGGGGGGTCAGAGAACTGCTGCGTGCAGCTGGTTTCGGCGCCGCCTCAGGGCGCTTGCCCCGATGCGTGGGCGCCTCCATCGCCAGGAGGCGCCAGGAAAGCCAGCTGCGTGAGCTGATTCGCTACCAGCTACCTCCCCCCCCCTCCTCCCCCTCCTCCCCCTCCTCCTCCTCCTCCTCCTCCCCCTCCTCCCCCTCCTCCCCCCCCTCCTCCTCCTCCCTCTTCCTCCTCCTCTTGCTCTCTCCTCCCCCTCCTCCTCCTCCTCCTCCTCCTCCTCCTCCTCCTCCTCCTCCTCTCCTCCTCCTCCTCTGCTCCTCCTCCCCCTCCTCCTCCTCCTCCTCCTCCTCCTCCTCCTCCTCCTCCTCCTCCTCCTCCCCCTCCTCCTCCCCCTCCTCCTCCTCCTCCTCCTCCTCCTCCTCCTCCTCCTCCTCCTCTCCTCCTCCCTTCGTCCGACCTGGGAGGGGGGCCGACGGCCTGCCACCCATCGCCGCGCGTCCCGGAGCCAGGTCCGCCCGCCCCCCCCCCCGCGACCGCGAAGAGGAGACTGCGCCGCGCAGGCCGCGGCCTCGGCCGGAGCGCTGCCCTTCGTCAAGGCGGCCCCGCGAGGGCGCGAGGAGTTCCGCGCGTCGATCGCGGGGCTCAAAGGGGGAGAAGGTACCCATGCCTCTAATTAGCCCCTCGCCCGTTTCCTCCTCTCTGGGCCTCCTGGGAGGCCCCCGTCCCCGCCGCTGGATGCGCCTCGAGATCCTGCTCACAGCGCACCCCGGGAGAGGCCCGGGGAGGAGCGGCATCGGCACCTCTTGATTTTTCAGGGGCGCGGTGCGCGAAGTTGGCCCCCGCGGGTGGCCCAGAAGGGCGGGCCGACGGCGCCCCGAGGGCCTCGATCCTCGATCCTCCCCTGTCCGAGGCCACCGGCCCAGCACCGCCCTGAGCGACGCCACGCGGCCCAACACCGCCCTCGGCTACCCCACCTGGCCCGCCGCCGCCCTGAGCGACGCCACGCGGCCCAACACGGCCATGGGCGACTTCGCGCGGCCCCACACGTCCCTGGGCGACTTCACGCGGCAGAACACGCCCCTGGGCGACTTCACGCGGCAGAACACGCCCCTGGGCGACGTTACGCGGCCCAACACGGCCCTGGGCGACTTCACGCGGCCCAACACGGCGCTGGGCGACGTGACGCGGCCCAGCGCGGCCTTGGCCGACGTCGCGCGGCCCTTGGAGGGCGCCAAATAGACCATCATCACCCATCCCTTGCCACGCCCATGCCGGCCCCAGGGTTGGCGTGTGTGCTGTCCTGGCCGAGCCACGAGGGCGCACACACCGACCCTAGGATTCAGTCGGGTATGTCCCTGTACAGGAGGACTGAACCCAAACATAGCTTAAAACAAATAGTCAGGGGCTGTTCTTTTGACTATCTTTTGGCTATTTGATGGTGTGTTTTGGCCACCTTTCGTTCTTCTTCCCAAAAATCCGCCTGCCCGACCTGACCCTAGGATTCGGGGGTGGACAGAACCCCCAACAGTGACACGTCGATTAGTGAATTGTCCGTTTTCGGTTCTCCAGAGGGCGCCGGGGCCGTTATTTTCCAGGTCTGCGCCCGCCAGGTTTGGGCCTCAGGTCGTCTTCACTAAACCACGCTTTGCTAAAGGGGGGTCTGTCCATCCCCGAAGGATGCGCTTCGGAGGGCACCAACTATACACCAACACCGATCCTGGCCCAGGATCACCCTGGGCCCAGGATCGGTGTATATGCCCTCTTGCCCAAGGCAGGAGGGCGTATACACCGGTCCTGGGCCCAGGGTGATCCTGGCCAGGATCGGTGTTGGTGTATAGTTGGTGCCTTCCTAGCGCTTGGCCAGGATCGGTGCACGGCGGGCTCGCGCTGCCTCGACACGGCGGCGGCCCCCGCGCGGGCGTCAAGGGCTGGGCGCCGCCGGCGCCCAGGGCCGGCCGTCGTCGAGCGGTCTCGCGGTGTCGGAGAGCCGCGGCCGCGAGAGGCTGCACGACTCCTCCTCCTCCTCCTCCTCCTCCTCCTCCTCCTCCTCCTCCTCCTCCTCCTCCTCCTCCCCATCCTCCTCCTCGTCCTCCTCCTCCTCCTCCTCCTCCGCCGTTTTGGCATCGCGACGCGGACCCCTGGTGGGGAGGCGGTGGATGAGGACGAGGAGGAGGTGGACGAGGAGGTGCAGGAGGGGGAGGAGGAGGGGAATGAGAAGGAATACACCTCAGGCGATGCTTAAGAAAACTTGAGTTTTCGACCAGAGTCTCGATTATTCTTACTGTTTCAATGTAAATCCCAAGATTTTGATAGAAATTTTGGGTTTTTATTCAAGTTCTGAGACTATGAATTTCTTAACCCATGATTTCTTAAGCATTTCGCAGGGTGTACAGGGAGAATGGGGACCAGAGTAGACCCATGACGCATCAGCGAGGCTGCAGTGCACTTCCGTCCGAAGTCCCCTCCTCACAAGTTCGTGCGAATATTCCTTTTCACTGCAGGAAGCGCCACTAAGGCGAGACCTCGTTTTCTACAGTTCCAGAAAACGTCTACCCATGGCTCCGTTTTAAAGAGGATGATCCCTCCAGCCGTGTAAGTGTTGCACGTTTAAAAAGAACGTCTTGGGCATAAGTTGCGCGGGAGCCTCCAGCAATACAGTAAACCCGCATGGTAAGGATGGGCAATTTTCCCAAGGGTACCCTTGCGTCCTTGCCTCCTCGGTCCATCCTTGGCCACTTTTGTTGGCCGCGCCCCGCTCGGAAAGCTTCGTATGGCCTTCCAAGGTGCTCGCGCATCCTAATTACACGGGTTCACTGTAATTCTATTGTGGAATTGAGCCGCCCTCAATCCGTGCAGCTGTTGCCCAATTTTGAATTTCAGGTCGAAGAATCTCAGGAGGTCTCAAGAGAGAGTCGCTTTTTGAAAACGAACCAGCCTCCATCCATGCAGCTGTTGGGAACTACACGAAACGAATGTGTGTGACACACGTGTGACGCTGAGGCGAGGGCCGCACGTTTTCAATCACCCCCTTGTAACTGCTGGATTTGTGTTAGACGATGGTGCGCGGCGCTCAGGCGAGATCCGCATTTTGACCCCCCGATCCGTGTAGCTGCACATTGGTTTAAGATGTGTGTGCGCGTTGCAAAGCTTCCCGATTCCGACCGCCCTCCGATTTCAGCTCGAAGCTTCCCTCCCGCGCAGGGCCCAACGCCGCCCTCGCCAGACATCCGGTGTTTTTTTGAATGCGGGGCCCTGGAAGTCCCGACCCTTTCCCCAGGGCCGTTTTTTTGTCCATCCATAGCGTAGCGCAGCATAGCATATCATAGCATAGCCTAGCATAGCATGGCGTAGCGCAGCATAGCATAGCATATCATAGCAAAGCGCAGCATAGCAGAGCATAGCATAGCATAGCATAGTATACCGCGTTTACCGCTCCTACTAATGTTGCTTTCCTAGAGGCTCCAACTCCTAGGTAGGGTCGCACTGGGATAATTTTCATCCAGAGTCGTTTTTTGACGGTCCCAGGGCCCAGCGAGCGCTCCTTGGAGGCTGGAAGCGGACACCAACCTTCCGTTTTTTTTGTTGTTGTTGTTTTTTTTCGACGCGAGCATGCTCGCTTTCGGGCGACAACCTCAGGCGGCCGTTCGGGACGACTCTGGAGAGTGTTTTTACGGGACATGAAAACGACCACAGCCACTGCTTTTCTTTTGTTGCCGCCTTAAGCCAGCAGAAACAAGGCAGTGGTTGTGGTAATTTTCGTTGAGCTTGGCACCAGGGAAATGACCACAACCACAGCTTCTTTCTCGGCCGGCTGGAAGGCGGCGCAAACAAGAAGAAGCAGTGGCTGTGGTCATTTTCCCGTCCCGCATTTGCTAGGGTCAGGCGATAAACCCCGGGTTATCGGGCTTGCCCCCCCCCCTCCCCTCCCCCAGGATAGCCGAACCCTGCCAGTTGTGCAGGTCCGGGGTGGGGGGGCGCGGGCATATGCAGGGCTTTCCACAGCGCGAAGGTTAGGTCATCGGCCGGCCCCGGCCTACCCCCACCGGGGATAACCCGGGTGATCGCCGATTCGAAAAAGGTCTCCAGACAACGTTGACGAGGCTCAAAAAGATTGCCTCCTCGTCCTCGCCAGTGTTCGGAGCGGTCGGGATCGGTGCGGAAAGAGAGGGCACAAAGGCCGACAGCAGCTCTTGTCCACTCGGAACAGGACTCGCTGTCGGTGCCGTCGCGGGCGTTGTCCATTTGAGACAGATGGCCGCGTGCCCAACTCGGGTATAGCCAGGACCCCAGGTAAGGGCACCCGGTTAGTAGTAGGGCCCCAGAGCCCCTAAATAGGCCAGAATCACTAAACCAGGTCTGCCGTAGCTGGTGGTTTTCTGATGACGGCAGTTCCGGTTAATGGAACGGGGCGGGGGGGGGCGCCCCCCAGTACACATCATTAAACCAGGTCCCACTAAACCCAGTTCTGCCAACGCCCGACCAACAGCGTCTGCTGTAGGTTTTGGACAACATTTTCATGTTACGCCTCGGACGCACTTTTTGCGCACCCGTGTCGGGCGTCCAACGTGTGTGCCTCGCCTGCTGATGGGGGTCAGCTTCTTGGGGGGCAGGAAGGGGTAAGCTCAGTTCCATGTACTTTCAAAGGTCGAGGCCGTATTTGTCTCAAGAGATCTGTCTTCCCTTGGCTTCTCCTTGGTTTTTCCTTCGGGAATGTGCGTCCAGGCAGGTATTTGTAGCACAGTTGTTGTTGGTTTCCTCAGTTTGCCCTTCGTTGACTCTGTCCCCCAGAAGTCTGTCCACCATTAGCATGCGAATGACTGTTGGAGCCGGTTTGGGGTCTGAGCTTGCCCAGCACCCGGGTCCGGCGAGCAGAGGAAGAGGGGCGAAGCTGACAGCGGTGGGCTCGAGGAGGTCTCTTCGCCGCCTCCTTCGGCCTCCTCCGGGGTCCGCTTTCGGGCCCCAGGGCAGTCCAGAGTTGATCTGGGGTGAAGCTCTGCCTCAGAGATGGACCCCAGGAGGGGCCGAAGGATTGCAAAAAAACCCAAGATTTTCTCGAAGGATTGCAAAAAAACCCGAAGGATTGCAAACAAACCCTTCGTACGAAGGATTGTAAAAAACCCGAAGGGTTTTTTTTTGCAATCCTTCGTTCTTGGGACTCGGGGCTGGAGCGGGCGGGCGGTCATGGGGGGTGGCCCGAGTGGGGGGGCGAGGGAGAGGGCCCCGAAGGGGCACGTCAGGGCTCCTCGTGGAGCCAGCAGGGGCCCGACAGGGGCCCCAAAAAACCAAAAAGAAAAAACCCAAACAACAAAAAAAAAACCCAATACACCAAACAACAACAAAAACATAAACAAACCCTAAAAAACCCAACGAAGGTTTTTTTGCAATCCTTCGTTTTTTGCAATCCTTGTTTTTTTTTTGCTTGCAATCCTGGTTTTTTTTGCATTCCACCCCCATCGGAACCGATTTCCACGAGGTCCATCCCTAGCACAGGTCAAAAACCCTACTGAGGACGCGCGACTTTGCTCAGGGCGCCCTTGCGTCCTTGCTCTTCCTTGCTCTTGCGTCCTGGGGGTTTTCGTCGTCCGCCGCCCCAAACATCCCAACTTCGGCTTCCAAGGGTCTTGCGTCCTTTCCGCGCGTCCTTATCAGGGTCTTTGACTGTGGACCCCCCTGTCCGTCCAGGTGTTCGATCACGGACCCCTTGCCGAGCGCGACCGTTCCAGCCCTCGAGGCCGAAGGCCACCGAAGACCGCCGAGGACACCGCCAGAGGCCGCCGGCAGACCGCCAGCAGACAGTCCCGGAGATCCTCCGAAGACCGCCGGAGACCGCCCAGGAGCGGTGTGAGGGACGCCTACAACGACGCGAAGGTCGGGACAAAACCGGATCGGGATAACTCGAAATCTCTGAGAATCGGCGGGTTTGGAGGATGTATTGGGCGCCGCGGCCGCTCCAGAGCGTTCCGGAACGCTCTGAGAGCGCTCCGGAGCGCTCTGGAGCGATTTATCCCGATCCTAGCCCTGTTTTTAACGCCAGAACCTAAGAACTAAGAGCCTATAAAGATTTGAATCCTAAAACTCCTTACGCACCTCCTTCCGCGCTCCGTGATGCCGCCCCCCATTTGGGCACACCCCTCACGCAGGTCCTTGCCCTCGGAGTGCCAGGAGTGGTGTTCTCAGGGCTTTTGCAAATCCCAGGGCGCACCCCTCACGCAGATCCTCGC